TCAGTCGGAGACACCTTCGATAGTGTTTCCTCCTATTCCAGAGGGTGCGATCTCCCATTGGAAACCTCTGTATGTTAATGCTCACATTTGCGGGAAACCAATCTCAAAGGTTTTTGTGGATAATGGAGCAGTCTTTAATGTTATGCCATTGAAGACTCTCAAGAAGCTAGGGAAAGGAATTCATGATCTGTCTCCTGTGGAATTCGAAATGACAAGCTTTACAGGGCAGCCGACCAAGCCTGAAGGTATGATGGTTGCCACAATTGAAGTCGGACCAAAAAAGATCTCCACTGTTTTCTTTATTGTGGATGCAGATACTACATACTCTCTCTTGCTGGGGAGAGACTGGATTCATGCCTCTCAATGTGTGCCATCAACACTGCATCAACAATTAATGTTCTGGGAAGGAAATCAGGTCTTCAAAATGGAAGCAAATGACAACCCATTCGATGTATCAGAACAAGTTGAAGAGTCAGTTTTTTATTCCAGTCATTTGGCTCCGATGTCTCAGTTATATATGGCCAGGGAATACCCAAACAAGGGTTATAAAGTCACTGGCCAGAACTCGATGTTCTATTAAAAGAACAACTTTATTGTATGGCTCATGATAAAGCCACACCTATTCTCGTATAATTTGTCTGTTATGGGTGATACAAGTTTAGAAGTTTGTAGTTCTCTTATTAATAAGTTCTATTTAAAGCAGTTATTACATAAAGCAGAAAATAGTAAAGAGATTCTTGATGTTCACCTCCAAGAAGATGAACAATTTCGTTGGCCTGATTTATTAGAAAAAACAGAACCAACAGCTTCATCACAAGACCCATTATTGGAGTTTAATTTAGGAACCGAATTGGTTCCAAAAGTGATCAGGCTAAGTGGTTATTTGTCTGAAGAGCAACAAACAATGATGCTCGAAGTTATTAGAAACAACATTGATTGTTTAGCATGGGATTATTCAGAAATGCCTGGTTTGAAAAGAAGTCTAATAGAGCATCGATTGCCTATCAGGGAAGGTTGCAAACCTTATAAACAACCCCCAAGGCGAATGAGCCCGGATCTGATGCCTCAAATCAAGGAAGAAATCCAAAAACTTCTCAAAGTGGGTTTCATTCGGCCTTGCCGTTATGCGGAATGGCTGGCTAACATTGTACCAGTGGTCAAGAAAAATGGTAAGATCAGGATATGCATCGATTTCAGGGATTTGAATCTAGCTACCCCTAAGGACGAATATGTGATGCCTATGGCCGACATGTTGATTGATGCAGCAGCAGGGCATAAAGTCCTTAGTTTGATGGATGGTTATGCAGGTTATAACCAAATATTTCTGGCAGAAGAAGACATTCCTAAGATAGCATTCAGGTGCCCAGGGGCTTTAGGTATTTATGAATGGACAGTCATGCCATTCGGGTTAAAGAATGCAGGGGCAACTTACCAAAGAGCCATGAATTCAATCTTTCATGATCTAATTGGTAAATCTATGGAAGTTTATATTGATGATGTTATTGTCAAATCTTCCAGTTTTAACGAACATTTGAGAAATCTTGAAGAGGCATTCGAAAGAATGAAGAAGTACAAGTTGAAGATGAATCCAACCAAGTGTGCTTTTGGAATATCAGCTGGGAGCTTTTTAGGATTTTTAGTTCATGAGAGAGGAATTGAAATCGATGCTAATAAGGCTAAAGCCATTCTTGACAGTCGGTCACCCAAGACGGTTAAAGAAATCCAAAGTCTTTTGGGTAAGGTGAATTATTTGAGGCGCTTCATCTCTAATGCTGCTGGCAAGGTCAGACCAATTACTAAATTGTTAAAAGCTGAAAAAATGCTTTTGAATGGGGTCCAGATCAACAGACGGCTTTAGATGCCATCAAGCAAGCATTGGTTCACCCTCCAGTCTTAATGCCTCCTAAACAAGGTCGGCCGCTCAAACTTTATTTGGCAAATACACATGAAGTGGTTAGCTGTTTATTGGCACAGGATGGTGATGACGGGAAGGAAAGGGCGATTTACTATCTCAGTAAAACCCTTACAGGACCAGAACTGAATTACACTATGCCAGAAAAAATGTGTTATTCATTGGTCTTCGCTTGCACTAAACTCGAGCATTATTTGCTGCCCAGAAGAATTGAGGTCATATCAAAGGTGGATCTCATCAAATTGATTTTACAGAGACCTACTATGAAGGGCAGACTCATGAAGTGGGCCATCAAATTGGCTCCTTTTGATCTCCAACATTCCTCTTTGAAGGCAATTAAGGGACAAGCAGTAGCCGACTTCTTAGCAGAATTCTCACAAGTCGGATATTCCTTTTATGATAGTGTCCGACCACTTAGTTGTTCATCATATCTGAATAATCTACAGGTCGGATGTGTGCCTTATATAAGTACCAGAACATGGTTGATGTTCTTTGATGGTTCCACCTCTGGAAACAAATCAGGAGCAGGGGTCTTTTTGCAAGGACCTGACGGTCAAAAGATCAACTTACAACTACGATTGGAAGCCATGACCCATAATTCGGCAGAATATGAAGCTTTAATTTTGGGTTTGGAGGCTTTAATAGCCAGGAAGGTCCAGTCTGTAATCATAAGAGGGGATTCTCAACTAGTAATCAACCAGGTAAACAATCAATATGTTTGCAATTACCCTCATCTTCGCAGATACAGGGACATTGTGGGTCGGTTACTGACAAAAATCTCAGAAGTAATAATTGAGTTCATTCCAAGGAAAGAAAACCAACGTGCTGATGAGTTGGCTCAAAGGGCCTGTAAAGGAATTCTGGAGGATATGTGTTCGGAGGTCAAGTCAGTAATAGAAGGAAAGACAGACCAAATATGTGATCGAATGGTCGGACAAGAGACTGTCGGACAGGAGCCCGACGGCGTAGTTACAGTCGGACACAAAGATACTAGTGAAACAACGACCGATTGGAGAACAAAACTTATCATGTATTTACAAAATCCAGGTGCGAATGTTTCAATTGCGATACGATTGAAGGCTTTACGTTTTCAATTGATAGATGGAATTTTGTATAAGAGATCATTTGAAGGTTTACTTTTAAAATGTTTGGGGTCTAAAGAAGCTCTAGAGGTAATGACAGAAGTACATAGTGGGATATGTGGAGCTCATCGGGCAGGTCTGAATATGAGATGGGCCATTCATCGTTTGGGTTTTTTCTGGCCAAAGATTTTTGAAGATTGCATACAATATGCCAAAGGCTGCCAGGAATGTCAGAGATATGGAAATTTAAACCATTTGCCAGTAACCGAATTGCAATCTTTGGTAAAACCATGGCCTTTTAAATCATGGGCTATGGATATCATTGGTAAGATACATCCTGCTTCATCGAAACACCATTGTTTCATTTTGGTCGCGACTGACTACTTTACCAAATGGGTAGAAGCAATTGCTTTGAAAAATGTAGATCAGAAAGAAGTGACAGACTTCGTTTTGAACCAAATTATCTACAGATATGGTATTCCTCAGTCTATAACAACCGACCAGGGCCTGGTTTTCACAGGGGAAAAGTTCTCTAGTTTCTTGGCAGAATTTGGTGTCCGATTACACCATTCGTCACCTTATTATCCCCAAGCCAATGGACAAGCGGAAGCAGCAAATAAGATCATTATTGGGATTATAAAGAAGATGGTTGAAGGGAACCCAAGAAAGTGGCATTTGTTATTGTCTCGGGCTTTATGGGCACACAGGAATACCAGAAATACGGCCACAGGGTTCTCACCGTACCAACTCACTTTTGGCCAAGATGCTGTTTTACCAGCCGAAATCCGAGTATCGTCTGGCCGAACAGAATTTACTGATGGTGATCTTACAAAAGAATACCAACAGCTTATGTTGCAACAGTTGGAGGATTTGGATGTTAACCGACTCCATGCAATAGGTCAAAGTGTGAAACAAAGTGAAATCAGAGCAAGGAATTACGAAAAGAAAGTTTTTTACAGGACATTCCAAAAGGGAGACCTAGTCTGGAAGACCATTCTTCCTACATATAAGAAATCTGACCAATTGGGAAAGTGGTCATCGAATTGGGAAGGACCATACATTATTCAAAAAAATATTGGGAATGGCGCTTTCGTTATTGTAAATCATGAAGGTAAGAGAGTACATGATTGTATTAATGCTAAATATCTGAAGAGGTATTATCCTGCCTTTTCAGATAACAAAACTGCATGAAACAAAATATTATTCAGAACCCATTTATGGGGTTCGAACCTATTTTAAGGTTCATTTCTGTTAGTCATCATGTATTTGTGGGAGGTATTCTGCCTCTGGATCAGAATTTTCATCCCAATGATTGGATATTAGTTCTGGTTCTTCATCGATAAGATCTTCCAAATCTGGTCGGTACCTCTCCCATTGGCTTTGCATTTCGTCTAAATCTTGATTGGTACGTGCTTGCATATCTGTCATGGCTTGATATTCACGGTCAACAATGGTACGCAATCTTGAAAAGACTTTTCGTTGATTGGAAAATATATTATCCCAACCAAGGTCTGGAAGTATGGTTGCTGCGTGATGTTCAATCAATTCCATGTGATGATGGAGGTCAGGAATGCGGCTAAGGATGTCACGAAGAGTTTCATACCCCTCAATGATTTTTTCCATTAGGCGGATGACGCGATGAATGGTTCTTCTACCTCGTTGGGAGAATCGGAATTTGAAGTCTAGTTGCTTGAGTATATGTAACAAGTCTTCTGCATGACCACCAACAAGATGATTACCTACAAAGAAGGGTTGAAGAACACCTTCCCAGTTGCTTGATGGAACATGAGGTCGGTCGTTCGCCATGTTTGTTAACACTTCAAGTGTTTTGGTTTTCAAAATATGCCTTGGAATTTGGTGTGTTTCTTAATATGTGAGAAACATTGTTCTTTTAAGGAAGGAGTTTGTTTCGGTTCCTCAAAAGTTGGAAATTGGAAGGTGATCCTTGTTTTGAGAGAAGAAGGAAAAATATATTACTAAGTCAAATTATATTACAAAGAGGGAAGTATTACAAAAGTGCCCCTAGGGCAGTTTTTATATTTGTCCATTTGACCTCATCCCTGGATAGCCTTCTGATAGTAGCAGCCGTCTGATATCTTCTGATAAATTGAGATCGAGCTTGGGTTTTCAGCTCTTGATCCAATTCGGCCTCGTTCTTTGTATACCTCTCAAGCAGACGCTGCTCATTGGCAATTTGACTATCCAGGATGGACTGTTCTTTCCTTAGCTCCTGCAATTCTGTCTCCTTTTTCTGAATGGATTCATCAACTAGAGCCTTCGTGCTAAGGAGACCGCCCAACCTTCCAGTAGTTTGCTGAAGAGATTCTCGGGTCTTAGCCAAAGAATTCTCCAGTGTTGTTTGATCGAAGACAGGCTGGGGCGTTTCGGCTGACAGGAGTCCGATAACTAACACTTCAGTCTTGAGCTCAGTAAGTCTCTCCATCAGCCGATGCAGAATGGGGACGGCTGGCGATTCCGTCGGAGTGTAAAAAAGAAGGCCACCAACCGTCTGAATGAGTTTGTCCAAGAAGTCGGATCTTAATTCTGGAAGGGGACGGTTAATGGCCTCGGTGAATATAGTTTGGGCCTCCGCTGGAACCGGAACAGTCGATAGGATAGCTAAGTCAGAAGGCCCCTGCAAGTCTTACAGTTTCAATAAGTATTCCAAAGGAGGTGCAAAATTATTTAGGAACGATTGAGTAAGATATATGTTACCTCTGGGCGAACTGCTGTAATTGAAGGGGGCAACAATGAGGTCGGTCGAGTAGGGGAGACAGCTGGTATAACAGCAGCCGATTCGTCGGCTGTTGCGAATGGTCGCTGAGGTGCCGACCTGGGTCCCTATGGAAAGTAGTATATAAAACAGTTAGTGTTTTTAGAAAGAAATATTATGGCATGAATTGGTTTAATCTTACCAAATTCACAGAAGTCTCCGAATCGGACGAAGAAATTTCTTCTATTTCTGGAGGTTGGGCTGCCACAGGTGGTTCTTCTGCCTGCCACTCGATTGCTGGAGGTAGGGCAGCTGCTGGCTGGGCGGCTGCTGGTTGGGCGGCTGCATCTAGAGCCACTGCAGCCGGTATCTCAGGAGCAACTGGGATAGCCGCAGTTGAGGTACCTTCGGCTTCCAGCGCGGCCGCATCCGATTGGACTATTTCGGGATCAGCAGCAGCAGGGATGTTGTCTTGAGGGTCAGCTTCGGCAAGGGCAGCCGGTTCTTCATTCGAAATGGGTGAGTCTGATGCCATGTATGGCGGTCGACCCATCTGAGAGGTAGTCCCCTCGCTGTTTGAAGAGACCCCTGCTGCTGATGCGATTGGCGAAGGTGTCTGTGAAAAAGTATGGAAATGTTGTTGTTAAACACACCAAGGTTGATCATTAGAACCCTAAGTATTGCAGATGAGAGGACTTACTGGTTCTATAGGCAGTGCTGGTAAAGATTGCCTCCTGGTCGGGTGCCTGGTCCGACCGCTCCTCGGCACAGGAGGAAGAGTTTGCCTCCTTGTCAGGTCCTCCGCCCGACTGCTCATTGGCAAAGCGAGAGGTGGAGTATGGGTTTGGAGAGGAAGTGCCTAAAGTCAAATGGAGATCAACATTTAAAGTTTTGCAGAAAAAATGACAAGTTAAAGTGCTAATTGATTACCTGAGACTGGACCAAAGGGACAATTGATTGGTCGGCTAGGGCTGGCGTCGTTTGTGTGGTCGGTGCTACCAAGGTCGGTTCTGGTGAAAGAAATGAGAGAAATCAAAGTTAAGATATATTGAAATGGTTCAAGGTTTTCAGAAAAAATTACCTATTCGGGGTCGGGTCCTTGTTGACGTCCTAGTAGTTCCAGGGGCCGTCGGAGCTTGCTGGTCGGCCCCAGAGGTCGGAGGTGTTTGAAGCTGGGAAGTTTTCCTTTTCCGCATTGGGACGCTAGATCCGACTCCCGGGGCGGCTGTTTGTTGCTGAGTGCTGGTATGTCTAGCTGCCCCTAGAACCAATCCTTGGGGGGGAAGGAGTACGTTCAGCAACCGATCCTTATCAGGGGAAATCAGGGCCCATACAACCGACCACCATTCATTGAATGTATTCACAGTCTCAGGGTTGGGGCGGAAAGGAATATAAGAATTGGAAACTATATACGTGGTGAGCTGGGAGATATAAGAAGGAATTGAATTAGGTAGGACCCGTCGGTCAGGACTTTGAAAAATTATATGAGGACAAGTGACGGGTCCAGGGATACCTTGGCAGCAGCCGAACTGGCGCGCCATGAATTGAGGTTCGTAATTAAAGGTGTAAAAAGTTTTTTGCCATTTTTTATCAAGTTTTTTACTGCTAAAAAGAGACCTGGGTTTGAGGGCAACGTCCCAGGCGAAAGGATAAGTGGGATGAGGACAAGGCTCAGGAGTCGGAAGAGGATTTGGTGCCGGAAAGGGCCAAAAGTGGTCGGGAGCATAACCCGCATATTTTTTATACATATAAAATCGAGAGTTATTGCGGGTATCTGTCAAAATTGTGGTTATTATTGGGTCGGAGGATTGGAGTTTACTGCGTCCTAAGCAGAGTCGGTTGAGGGCTAATCCCAAATGTTTCTCGGATATTGGACTAGTGGGCGGAGATCCTAAGTTGAACGCGTCGGGGAAGTAAAGACGGAACCAAAGTTCCAAAAACCAAAAAGGACCCGACGTGGCAGTGTCTAATTTTCTATTATCATTATCTGTTAAACGAAGGCTAACTCTAGTGAGGCCTTCAAAAAGATTGGCTAAAAAAAGAGTGCCGAGGGAAAAGAACCGACCTGACGCGATATGAATGGCCAGGTCGAGGTGAGAAGAAAGGACGCATTTAGAAGGGGAAACAATGACGTACCTACAAAGCCAAAAAAGAATGAAGGCAGTATGCTCCCGGTCGGTCACGGGGGTCCCTGGAGCCCCTTGCTGGTCGGTCGCGAACTTTGTCCAGCCCCATTCCTTCACGCCTTGTAAAGACCACCCTAGATGGTCTTCTGGTGGCTCCTGCCCATCTAAGGCTCCCATCACAGGGTCTTCACCCACGACTGGGAGATGAGCGATCATCGCCACATCCATGAGAGTCGGACCAAAGGGGCCCGACGGTAAGAGAAAAGTCCCATTTTCCGCATTCCAGAAAGCCGACATGGCTAGGAGCACCTTCTCGTGCAGATTGATCGGCATGGTAGATAATAGAATCGCTTGGTCGATTTTTTGAGATCGCCATTGGGTCTGGAAGTGTTCTGATACCCGTCGATACCAATAGCGATAAGGATCTTTTGGGTCTGTGAGATGGGTTTTGATGCTGTCTCGAATGCGAACTGCTTGGTAAGTAGGGTTGTTGACGGCCAAGGAATTTCGGGATTCCAAAACTTCCCTCATCCGATTTGAGTCTTCGGGAGTGGTGCAGTATGGTCGGATGGTCGGAGTTAGCACTTTCGAGGCTGAAAACGGGCCCTCTGGGAGGGTTCCGTCGAAGGAAAGGGCAGGAATGTATTGATTCGCCATGGTTAGGGTGGTTGAGATTGTGATTCACAAAGGCTCGTATTGAAGAAAGGGAAGTTAATCAGGAGTGTTGCAGTAACTGGTGCAGTTGCTAAGGGAATTTTTCAAGAGGGTTGTGATTTATGAACTTCCAAACGACGATTGGTAAATGGCGTTTGAAAGTCCCTTGGCGGCGGGCAAGTTGTTACGTATGAAATTTAGAATTAGGTTAAAAAGCCCAAGGTAAAAGAAAAAATGGGCCTGGCAATAGAGTTGATTGAACTGGCTGAAGGACACCGTGGGGAACTCAAGGAAAATAGGTTTATTTCTAAGGAAAATACAGGTCGGGAGGTCCTCAGGACGGAAAGACCTCAGGTCGGGAGGTCCTCAAGACGGGAGGTCCTCAGGTCGGAAAGTCCGCAGGTCGAAAAGTCCTCAGGACGGAAAGTCCTCAGGTCGGACAGGTCGGGAGGTCCTCAGGTCGGGACTCTGCGGCTGGACCAACAAGTCGGATGGTCTATTAGTCGGGAGGTTTGTAGCTGAACCAAACAAGTCAGATTGTTTGCAAGTCGGGAGGATTGGCAGTCGGACCAATACGGTTGTAGATTGGCAGTCGGGCCAAAAGGGCGGAAGGTCTGTGGTCGGCTCAAAGAGTGAAATATAGTGACAATTTTGGTCCGCTGAGGACACGTGTCAGCAGGAGAAGGGTTGGAAAGGAGACGTAACCGTTCGGGCGACGGTTTTTAGTACAGTTTCCCAGGGAATATTTAAGGGTTTGGATTTTTCTGGAGAAGGCATCTTCAATCAACTTCAACAAAGCAAAGTCAGATTTGGGGATCACCACTTTAAATTTCAGTCTTTTATTTTCCAGTTTATTTTCTGTACCATACAGTGTTTAGAGATTCCTAATCTCAGGCACTAATTAATCAAGTTTAAGGATATTTTCTATATCTTTGAATTTTACTTTATTTTTGTTGAAAAATTACATCAACAATATTAAAATAGTTTTATAAAAAATTATTAAAAATATCTAATAAATAAGCTTTTAGTTTACTGTAAATGGAGGAAACCAGCACTAAATCTAACACTATGAACAAAATTTTAAAAAAATAAAAGCCTAACTAGTCAAAATTTTTCATCATCTATGTAACAATTTAAGCCCTAAATCTAACACTATGCACATTAGAATTATCCTTCCTATGCTGATCTTTTGGTTCATTTGGACTGAAAGAAATGATGCAAAACATCTTAATACTAAATTTTTGAGTGACATGATCATTTTCAGAGTTCAAAACCATCTTAGGATTGCTCAGTGCTGTGGAAAATGGCAGACTTTACACTGGAACGGAGATAAGCATGTTGCAGCACTTCTGGAATTCAGCCCGCCTGAATCCTCAGTCATGGTGCCACAACCTGTTCGGTGGCGGAAACCTCCGGCTGGCTGGTACAAGCTGAACACAGACGGAGCTGCTCGTGGAAACCCGGGTTTAGCTGGTGCTGGCGGGATCATCAGGGATCACACTGGTGATATCATTGTCGGATTTCAAGAACACCTCTTCCACTGTACCAGCACCAAAGCGGAGTTGGCTGCGATCCTTCGCGGTATCAAATTGGCAAAGGAGCGAAACCTCACCCCCTTATGGCTTGAAACAGACTCGGTGGTGTGCGTTAACCTTATTTCTACAGATGATGCCCCGACTGGTACATGGACTCTTCAAAATAGTATCTCTCGGATCAAAGCCTTACTCGGTGATATGGATTTTTCGATTTCTCATATTTATCGTGAAGGAAACAATGCGGCGGACTGGCTAGCTAATCAAGGTTGTCTTCCTAACTCGTCTCGGATTTTTGAACCTAACGATATCTCAGGTAAGCTCCGCGGATTCGTTAATATGGATAAGCTTGGGCTTCCCTGTTTCGGATTCCATCGAAAATCTCGATGAACTTTGAGTGTGATGACTCTGTTGGCCCCTCCACTGAGTTCGGCTTGGAAGAATTGTATTGCTGTGATGATGGAGTTCGCGTGGAATCAAGGAGACAGTAGGGTTTGTCCGCTTAGAGTTTGGGCCATTTTTTGGGGCGCCCGCTTTGAAGTCGGGCGCCGCAAGCCGACTTCTGGTTGGTCGGTCCCTGATCCCCCTCCCCGACAGAGCCCCGTCCGCTTCCTCCGGACCCCAGGCGACCGTTGCCTTGGCGCCCCAGGCGACCTCTGCCTTGGCGCTCCACCAGCCGCCCAGCAGCCGCCCGCTTCCCTCGCGCCCCAGGCGGCCCATCCTTTGGCGGTCCCGCCCGCTCTCTTCGAGCACCAGACGTCCTCTGCCTTGGCGGCCCCGGTCGGCGCCATCAGCCGACTGCTGGTTGGTCGGTCTCTGTTCCCCCTCCCCGACTGTCCGCCCGCCTCCTTCGCGCCCCAGGCGCCCTCGGCCTTGGCGGCCATGCCCGTCTTGGCGGCCCCGACCGGCTATCAGCCGACTTCTGGTTGGTCGGTTCCTGTTCCCCCTCCCCGACAGATCCGATTCCCGCGGAAATATCGTTGATCCGTCGTGCGTGAAGATCGTCTTCTGCAACCGCTTCGCTGATTGTTTGGAAGATTTGCAACGAAGGATGAAGTTTTCTGCGTGTTTCGTTGGGATTCTGCTTGATTTATTTTATTGCTTTGGTAGGAAGCCCATTTTTGTATAAATCTTTGGGCTTCATTTTTTGTAGGCTGTATAGTTGTTGGAAGAAATCTGTGTATGTGAGGGCCTTTTTGTATAGATGCTGGCCTTCTTTCTTTGCTGGGTTAGGCATTGGATTAGTAGGCTGCCTTAGGATCGGCCCAGTATTGTTGGTGTTGGTGTTGGGCCGGCCCTACGGCAGCGTGGGCCTCTCGTCACCATGTAATGACACTTTGCTGAAATTTATGAAATTTTAAGGTTTTTTTTTTTTTAAAAAAATAAAATTTAAGCCATAAATCTAACATTACGAACAAAAATTAAAAATCAGAAAAACCTAACTAGACAAAAAATAAAATAAAAAAAAACAGAATTAATCCCATATTCAAATTTACAGGAAAAACTAGGGTTCGCGTTTGAGGACGTCCGCGGGCAGCGGTGGAGCGCGGTCGACGGCCGAGAGCCGGTGCAAGGTTCAGGGGAGTAGGGTGGAGGACAGCCATTCGGTGAAGAAAAACATAAAGAAAAAGACGACGGCGAAGAAGAAGACGAACCAGGAGACAAAGGAAGTAGAAGAAAGAAAAAGAAGAAAAAATAACAGACGAACAGAGCAAGAAAGAAGAGAGGAGAACGGAGGGGGCTGCGCGTGATTGAATTAGTTAGGGTTATGCGGTATAATTTTATTATTTTTATAATACTTTTATTTTAAATAAATAATTATTTTAATTTTAATTGGTATATATTAATATATAAGTATTATGTATGTATTATATATGATATATATATATGTAAATATGATATATTATTTTATATTATTTTAGATTTATTTAGAAATTTTATTATTTTTAAATAAATAATTATTTTAATTTTAATTTGTATATATTAATATATAAGTATTATGTATGTATTATATATGACATACATATATATGTAAATATGATATATTATTTTAGATTTATTTTGAAATTTTATTATTTTAAAT